TTGACGTGTTTATTTTTAGAGATCCCTATGTGATTTCGTTGCCGTTAATTGCATTCCCTCGGTTAAGGTTTTTAAGTGTTTTCGGACACCAATTATAGACAAGATCGGTAAAAATTTTGAGAAGTGTTTCAAAAAAGACAATATTTTGTGCATTGTTTTGTATATTTAACATTATTGGTACACTAATGGTATATATTATATATAAATAAGATATATATATATATATATATATATATATATTATATATATATATAATATATATATATATATATATATATATATATATTACTACATTAATTCAAACACAAAATCCCATTGTTCCTAGAAAATGTTTCGTATAGTTTTACTACACTACTACAATTCGACAATTTTACAAGGAAAGTCTTGTGATGCCAGTCATAACCTTCAAACCCATTAACGAAAGGCTCTTATATATTAGACTCAAATAATAACTGCATAACTAGGTACTAACTTGTACTCCCTAATTGCTGTCCACGCAGTGGCGGCCGGTCAGGGTCGGCAGGGTCGGCAGTGCCGACCCACATCTTTATAGATATTATAGATTTTTTTACTATTTAATTTAATCAGTATTTCAATAAATAATTGTGGCAGGTAATCAGTTGATGTCATTTGTTTTTGTGAAACAAAAAAAATATCTGTGAGATAATAAAGACTAAATTTTATTCATGGTTTTTAAAAGAATTCGTCCAATCTGAGCGTTAAGTGATCCCTGCGTAGACACTTTTCAAATAGATGATTCGATATCGGAGACATCCATCCGCCTATGAATTCTTAAAAAGGCACGTTTTGTTTTTTCAGCTAGCCGATCCCAACCTTTACTTTACTTGTAAAAATCAACGGAATATTGGTTGATTAGCAACCAAATATACATTTCGTTCCATATGAACTTAATTACCAAGTACAATTGGCAAGGCAAATTTAAATTTGCCGATGTTTAATTTGGATTGGTGACTGGTCGCTAACTGTACATTGCGAGCGTGGGACGAAATGTTATTTCATATAATAATATGTGGTAAAGTAAAGTAATATTCAGTGCACGAACTAGCCTTTCTTTTTGTGATTCATTTTTATTTTCTAAAGTAATACTGTGATACGTTACGTCTGCCGTAAATAGTTAAAGGTTAAAGGGTTTTTTGACATATTAGAAGTTTTTTTTAATTAAAGTGTAAACAAATTTAGGTAAATTAACCTAAAAAATGCAATCCATGGGAGAAACTGTAAGTATTGATAAGTCTGATATTGTAAAGTATATTTTGCATAATGGGTTTTTATCTATTCCATATAAAGAACAAATTGTTATTAAAAATAAGGCGCGTTCTTTGCCTAAAATGTCCCGGCTTAAAAATATTAGTGCGGGTAAGGGAAGTAATAGATCATTTTCAGATAATCGGTACAGCAAGTACTCATGGCTTACCGGGAGTGAAATAAAAAACAAACTTTTCTACTGGCCTTGCATTTTATTTTCCACAAATAGGGGCAAACATCAAAATCCGTAATGTGAATCTGGTTACGATAATTTAAAGGAATTATTTAGGGCTTTACATAAACATGATATTTCGAAAGATCATACTTACAACCAGATTAAATTAGATTTATTTGAAAAACAAAATATCTATGTTTCATTAGATAATGCCCAACGTGAAAATGCTATTAAACATAAAGAAATTGTAAAAAATAATCACGCAGTTTTACGTCGTTTAATTGATATTGTAATTTTTTTAAGTTGTCAGGAATTATCTTTTAGGTGACACGATGAATCGGAGTATTCGTTAAATCAAGGTAATTATAGAGAACTAATAAAAATGTTTAAAAAATACGATTTGGAATTTTCTAATTTACTTTCTGATTCGAAGACATTTAGTGGTGTATCTAAAACAATCCAGAATGAATTAATAGAATCAATTAGTTACATTTTGAGTAACGTTATTGAATCTGAGATTCAGGAAACCATTTGCTTTTCACTAGAAGTAGATGAAACTACCGACATATCATGTCATTCACAATTATCAATTGTTGTTCGATACGCGTTACGTGGTAATATCTATGAGAGGTTTTTAGGTTTTACAGACGTGAGTAAAAGCCATAAAGCAGAACATATTTTTGGTGTTTTAAAGGACAGATTAAAATTTTTTGATATCAAAAATAAATTGATAGGCAAACTTATAAAGGCGCTGCCGTAATGTCTGGTGAATTAAATGGTCTCCAGGCTAAAGTTAAAACTATTGCACCGCAAGCTTTATTTACCTATTGTTATGCCCATAGAATGAATTTAGTTTTGCAAGATACATGTAAAAAAATTAAAGAATGTCGTCTTTTTTTTTGCCAGTTTAACCGGATTTGCTTAATTTTTCTCAAGCTCGCCTAAACGGAATAATGTTTTAAAGCGGTTTGTTTCGAAAAAAATGCCAACAGTTTGTCAGACGCGATGGAATTTTAAATCTCGGTTAGTTTTCACTGTAGCAGATTTTCGTGAACAGCTTTTGGAAGTTTTTGATTTTATTATTGAATGTGACGATTTTGAAAGTGATGATATCTCGATCCGTGAAGCAATCGGTTTGAAAACTTTATTAAATGATTACTCTTTTAACATACTTTTAAATATTTTTAAGAAAGTGTTTACCCAAACCAATTTGATATTCAATGTTGTTCAAAATCAGTTAACTCACATTATTCATTCCAACAATAGAATAACAAGACTCGTGCAAAATCTTAGAGATTTTCGTAATGATAGTAATTTCCAGTATATACGCAGTGACGTTTTGGACTCGCTTGATATTTCCGAACCTCCCAAAAAAAGATAAAGGCATGGCAAAGAAACAGATCTCGAAAAACGAGTACCTATATTTTGAAATTTTGGATACTATTATTATGCAAATAGATACTCGTTTTTCGAATTTTGAAGATTTGCAAATTTTTGACCTCTGACGATTCAAAATTTAAAAGTTACGCCAAAGAATTTCCAAGATATTTATTAGACAGGTTGATTAAAAATTATCCATCATTCTTTAATAAAATAAAATTAAAATATTATCGGAAGATGGGATAAGTTACAAGATATGTATAATTTTATATATTGCAATTCAGTACAACAAACTGTTACCGAAACTAATAAATTATTTATTGAGAAATTATAAAGTTCTGGAACAAAAATGGGGATTTGATGAACAAAATTAAACACGTGTTTACTCTATGACTGTAATTTTGCTACTACCCTAAAAAAGGAAAGTGATACATTATTCAACTATTAAAGTAGCCAATAGATGACACTGCTAGAAAATATTCAAATTTATTTATCTATATCCAACATTATTGTCATTAATTCTCTCATTACCACCAACGTCTGCCTCAAATGAACGAGATTTCTCTTGCCTCAAAAGAATCAAAAATTATTGTCGAAATACCATGAAACAAGAGAGAATGTCAAGCTTGTCTCAAATGTCAATAGAAAAAAAAACTTTTAAAATCTCTTCAAAACTCTAATAAATTTTACGATGACGTTATTACCCATTTTGCTACTTCCAAACAATGTAGACTAGAGTTAATTTATAAACATGTTTAGGTTCTAAATTTAAAGGAAAAAACAAAAAAAAAACAAAAAAACAAGAAACCAAAAAAATTCCTATGATGATTGAAGTCTTTATTGGACAGTATACCTATCTGGAGACAAAAAATACCTTGCCGACCTTGTCTCTCAAGCCACGAGCCGCCACTGTGTTATATCGATTTCTCCTAGAATTTATCTAGTTATTATTAAAATCTTTTACTTCTGAGAACCTCATCAATGATCTCAGATCTTTTAAAGATCTTGTTAGACATATTTTGCTTTAGTGTTTTGTTCCGCTATTATTTTCGTCACCTAATAAGTTTGTTTTATTACTTTAATATCTATGACAAGATACTTATATTTTTGGCTTATACTATCACTAAATATTATATAGTATCCTTACATAAAAGCTAAAGAAAGATGGTATAGACATGTACACAGAATGAACAAAAGTCAGATGCTAATCAAGTGATTACGAGAACAAAAAAGGGAAAAAGTGAAGTTATAAAAAGATTAAACTACATTCGATATAGTTACTTTATTTATTATTACTTTAAATCGATTGTTCATCCATTTCCTATCAAAGGATAAAATATATATCAACTTTATAAGTAACAAATAAATATTGATGTTGACATATTCTTTAAGTCGTCTTTTAGAATATTTTTTCGTGTAAATAAAGCAAAAGTCACAAATTAAGATCACTGCTTAAAGATAAAATGTACGAAAATAATATGAAATCGATGTTGGTATAAAATGAACAGCCGTCATTTCTTAATTAATCAGAATAACGTTTCCGTCATCTTGATAAAGGCCGTTAATAATAAACGTACCCACCACTTTATCGATTTGAAAGAAAGCCAGTCATAATAAAAAGTCAATTTACGTTTTATCGATATCTACATGTTTAGTAAACACCGGCGCATTTTCCTGCCCCTTCTACGCGGCCTCGCAGCTACAACTAATAAAGATATCGACCGCAATGTAAGCAAAACAAGATTCCAGTCATTTCACGACCTAGAAATAAACATAAAAGGCGTATCTTGAAAGTTATCATGGTGACAGAGCTACACGGAATAGAGGACCACTTTATACATCACCTTTAGTTAGGTGTATGCTACAAAGGCTTTCATCTAAATGTCACATATCAAAGTGACACTGGTCCCGCCCATACCGTGCCACCGCCCCTCCACTCGACAGCGCATTGGCCTTCGCCCAACCCAGTCTCCGTGGTAACAGCCTTACGGGGGCCAATAGACGCGAACTACGGACACAAACTCAGTCTCGTCTCGAGAGCAACACATAAAACTCATGCAATAGGATCTTTCTTTGTTGATGGTTACCTGAGTAACACGTTTTTGTTAGCGATACCGTTTGTTAGTGCGGCGATGATAAGTGTCTAGTGAACTATTGTTTTTGCAAGCTGGCAACTCACATGGCTCTGGGATTGAGCTCGGGGCTCTGCTCCGGGAGCACCGGGCCCGGATCCGGAGGACATTCGGAGACATCGTCGTCTCCAGGAATCAGTGTCCCTATCCCGGTAGCTCCGGCACCGATGCTTCCTAATCCCATGTTTGCGCTACCGACACTAAACTTTACCGTCTCCCAAGTGGCCGCCGTGTGCGAAACTCTCGAAGAAAGTGGTGATATCGAACGACTCGCGAGGTTCTTGTGGTCACTCCCTGTCGCACATCCCAACATAAGTGAACTCAACAAAAACGAAGCCGTTTTAAGAGCAAGAGCTATAGTATCTTTCCACAGCGGCAATTTTAGAGAACTCTATTCAATTTTAGAATCGCACAAGTTTACCAAAGGTTCCCACGGCAAGCTCCAGGCCATGTGGCTGGAGGCACACTATCAAGAAGCGGAGAAATTACGCGGCAGGGCTCTGGGACCCGTCGACAAGTACCGCGTTCGGAAAAAGTTTCCGCTGCCCCGTACTATCTGGGACGGTGAACAAAAGACTCATTGTTTTAAAGAGAGGACTAGAAGTTTGTTACGCGAATGGTATCTCCAAGATCCCTATCCGAATCCGACCAAGAAACGGGAACTGGCCCAAGCGACGGGACTCACTCCTACCCAAGTCGGGAACTGGTTCAAGAACCGACGACAGCGGGATCGTGCAGCTGCGGCCAAAAACAGGTTAGTCATATTTAGAACTATATTTTTATATTTATTTTTAATATACTTTTCTACATATTAAAAATTATATCGTAATAAAAAATAAAAATAAGGACCGATTTGGATTGCCAATCATAGTAGGTAATTCGTAAATTTTGTGGCCACAACGTAATTTTTGATATAAATTTATGTACTAAAACAAATGCAATATCAACAAATAGGTCCATTCAAGACATTTATTTGATGAATACATGTAGCTAACAAATACTGAATTATAACGTTTTTACATAAAACTATTTAACTAGTTTTATAAAAATACATCAGTGTTGTATGTAAGTCTTAATTTATTTAATTATAATAATATACCACGTACATCCTGTATATCCGTTATATTAATTACGAAATAATTGAAATGTTTTTCAATTAGTATCATCTACCGCATATTTTTTCCATTTTCTCGGTGCAGAAATAATTATACGATTATTTACTACTTTTTTTAAATATTATTTTAAAAAAGATATCAAAACATTTTTTTGGACAAACTTTTATTAATTTAAACTAAATTGATGACATCTTGTATCTATCCATAAAGCAGAAAATTCTTATATGTATAAATTTGGAGTATACTAAATATTTCTAAATTATCTTTTCTGTATAATGCTGCTGATGAAAATACACTGCTGATAGAAATAAAAAGTTTTGGAATCGATTTCGAAATATGTACTACTATTTTGTAAATCGATTGTTGAAGCAATGACTGAAAATCCTATGACGGTTTTATCGGGACTATTAGATGTCTGTGACATTTTAATTTTCAACTCAGCTAAGATTTAGAGGAAGAATTGGTGATTTATGATTATGGTTTTAGTTGCAATTTTTTTGCGATAAGGGTTTGTGTATTTTTTAAATATCATTAAAAAATTTTTATTTACTATGTTCTTGAAAAATAATGGTACTATTTACAATCGTTTCAAGTACTTACTACAGATGTTGCAATATCATATATATTTTACTATTTTTATTGGAAATAAGCCACAATTTTACAAATAAGTTTATTTGAAGTTTTAATTTCCATTTCGGAAATCTTTCTAAAATTACAAAACAAATTTTGTTTTTGTTACTTGGTAAAAACATTCTTCTAATATGTTAATTTTATCTAACTCATTTATATTAACAATTCAGACACATTACACAATTTGAAGTAGATTATTTTAAAATGATAGTCAATATTTTGAAGTTGCGTTCCTGGGAGACTTTTTTGGAATGTGGTTCATTCGATTGCATAAAATCAACTTTACTTAAGAATAGAATATCTTTAAAAAGACAACCATATACAATGATGATATTACAATTTTCCTTTAGTGATCCCATAGTAAATCATAAGGAAAAAACAGGAAAAAAGGTCATAATTCTATTCCGAAATGGTAAGTATTTGGTCTTACATTTAGTTACTATTAATTTAAATTAAATATCCTCAATATGTTGACTTACTAACAGTGGTATCCTCTCTCTATTGATTTCATCTTTTAATGTAAGTAACCAGTTCCTACTGCATTCTGCCGAGAAATTTGCGACGCAATTGGTTTCATTTAAAATAATTAGATCCGCTTCTGATTTTTCTTTTTTACCATCTGCCTCTTTTAGGACTATACTTGAATCATTCTATTTAAGTCTACGCTGATTTTCCCATGCATGTTTACATATTTGAGATATATCAAATTCTTTATTTTTGTTATAAGATTGATGTTCAGTTAATCTAACATTTAATGTTCTTGATGTTTCACCTAAGTAAAAATGTTTGCATTCACAAGGTATTTTATAAATACAACTCTTTGTTCTTTCTTTTTGATTGTTAGGTTTAGTTTTAGATAAAATAGATCTCAATGTTCTGGTTGTTTTGATTGTTGATTTTTTTAAGCAACTGACAAAAAGAAAATTTGTTTAATTCAATAATTGTATTTTGAGAACTATTTCTGAAGTGGAAATCACTTATTTTAAAGTAAAATTGTGACTTATTCTCAATAAAAGTAGTAAATTGCATTAAAATGCCACAAGAAAATAGCGTCAGAAAATTATTATTTTATTCTACAAAAAGTTGCCGACGCTTCCAAATAAGGTAAAAATAACTAATTGAATCCCAACAAATTGCTGCAGTTTTTAGAATTTTTAATGTCTAGTGATTGTTATAAAACACATTTAATATTTCTTGTAGTTGTTCTGAAGCTATTTTCTTGTGGCATTGTAAATTAATTACTATTAAACTGGGAATAAGCCACAATTAAAGATAAAAATACGTTTATTGACGTTTCAATTTCCACTTCGGAAATCGTTCTCAAAATACAAACAGTAAATTAAACAAATTTTGTTTTTTGTTACATAATGAAAAATTCTTCTAATTTAATTTTATCTGACTCATTTATATTGACAATTCAGACATACATTATGCATTTTAAAGTAGACGACTTTAAAATGATATTGCTAATATTGTTGAGTTGCGCTCCTGGGACGACTTTACTTATAAAATAGTTCATTCGATTACATGAAATCAACTTTAACTTGAGAATATCCGTCAGAAAAAAATCATAGCATGTAATTCGTCTTTAAAAAGACAAACACATGACATGATGACAGTAAAATTCTCCTGTTAGTGATTCTATAGTAAATTATGAGCGAAAAACCAGGAAAAAAACCTCATAATACTATCCCGACATTGTAAGTATTTGTGCGTGAATTTAGTTTACCTTCAACAAACATCAAAATTATTATTTTATATGTTACGTTATTTAAAAAACATAAATGATGTATCCTCTATATGTTACTGACTTACTAATACTGGTATTTTCTTATTAATAACTTCCTCTTTCAATATTGGCAACCAGATCCTACTACATTTTGCCGAGGAATTTGTGACATAATTGGCCTTATTTAGCATAATTAGAGCCGCTTCTTTGATTTTTCTTTTTTTGTAGTATTTTTCTTGTAGTCTTCTCATACATTTATCAACTACTTCCTTTTATTCACTGCTGTCAAATACTTTTTCTTTCCAATTCTCAATACTACTTTTTCATAATTCTTCATATACGCTGTCCATCCTTCCATACCATATGTCTTGGTGTACCTTTTCTTCTCTTTTATCTTGGTTAAGTTTTTTATTATTTCTGCTTTTTAATTATCCATCTTTTTTATACCTCCATATTTATCTCCACACTCTATGTATTTTCTTCTCTCATCCTTCTAAAAAGTGTCTTCCTGATTTCTTAAGCACCCACATTTCGCATGCATATGTAGCTGTAGATTTGATAACTGTTTTGTAAATTCTAATCTTTGTTTTATTTGAGACATATTTGAATTTCAATAATTCTTACAATGCTCCATACTTTCTATTTTCTTTTGCTATTCTTGCCTTTATCTCCCGTTCCTCGTGTTTGTTTCCATATATTTTACACCCAGCTACATAAATTCTGAAACACTTTTTAACATGCACATGTTTCCTCTATCTACTTCTAATGTAAAAGTCTCTTCTCTTTTTTATCTGTTTGCTCCATTATCATTTATTTTGTCTTTTCCTTATTTATTGTTTTGCCTACTTTGTTATATTATTTATTAGCCTTATTAATTCTTTCCTATTTGTCGTTAATTGTATTATATCGTCTGCAAAGGCTACCGATTTTATGTAGTCAAATAAACTATCTTTCAATAAAGTCGTCCCAGGAACGCAACTCAAAAGTTTAGGGAATATCATTTTCTTTAAAATGTGTAATATAGGTATGTCTGAATAATTGTCAATATAAATGAGTCAGATCAAAATAAATTATTAGAAAAAATTTTTTCACCAACATTAATACATTAAAATTTTTTTAATGGTTTAATGTTGTGTACTTTGAGAACGATCTCCGAGGTGGAAATCGAAAACAGTAAGTGATTTGTGATCTACAAAACTGGACAAATACTATTAAAAATATTCAGGAGAATCTTTGTCAACAATTCAATGTTGCAGATAAAAAGGACTTAGTACCTTCCTTTTCATTCCAAAAATATTTATTAATTTAACTCAAGAGGCTTTAAGAATTATAAACCTTAAATGATAAAATACAAATGACTTAATGCTAAAAAAAATAAATCAGAATTACAAATATGCAATTATTTTTCGGAGAAATTCCGTATAGTTTTTTATTCCTTTCTTTCATGATCCTTTGTGCCGTGCATCGTTCTTTCTATCCTCTACTGTTATAATTTTTAACATATTTAAACTTACTGCTCTATCTCTTTGTTGTGCTCTCTTTTTCTTTCCTTGGACTGGTTTTCTCTACAAAATTAATTTGGGCATTATTTTACTTCCCACTCTTTTTATGTCCTAACCACAACCTAAATCATAAACTATTCTACTTCCTCTTTTTAAGCAATTCTGCTTATAATTACAATTGGCGGATTAATACCTATATGGAAAGTTGTCACATCATCTTTTGCGCGGTCGTCCGATACTTCTTCGGCCGATTGGTGACTTATCTGTTGTTATTTTGACGACACGGCTCTCCCCCATTCTGCCAATGTGGTGGTTTCATTCTTTTTTCTATTTTGTGTACATTCATTTATACACTGTACGTTACACTTTTTTCTAATGTCTTCACTTCTATTTCGATCTTTCAGCGTATTTCCTGTAATTCTTCTCAGTACTCTCATCTCTGCCGTTTCCAGTGGTCTTTGTGTTGTGGCTGTGTCGGGTCTTGTTTCTGAGGCATATGTCATTATTGGTCTTACAGTGGCTTTATAAATTCTTGACTTCATCTCAGTGTCAATGTGTCTGTTTCGCCATATAGTGTTATTAAGACATCCTACCAGTCTATTTGCATTTTATACTTCATCTTTTACTTCTTTTTCCAGGTCTCCGTAGCTAGACAGTGTAATTTCCAGGTATTTTATTTCCATTACTTGTTCAATACTGATGTCATCAATTTCTATTATACATCTGGTTGGTTCTTTGCTGACTACTTTTGTTTTAGTTTTCTGAGATGAGATTGTCGTATTAAATTCTTTTGTTCTTATGTTAAATCTGTGGACCAGTCTTTGCAGACTATCTTCATCTTGGGTTATCAATATTGCGTTCTGCGTCTGCGTCTGCATTACAGAGTGCTTTGATTTCTTTGTTTCCCATTCTGTATCCTCTTCCTTTGTTAACAGTTTTGATGATTTCATCCATGATCAAATTGAAGAGCTTGGGGCTCAATTAATTATTCTTGAATATGAAAATTAACATTGTTTAAAATTTTTCTTCATTATTTCTTGCTTTAGATACATTCCATTTCTGTGTTAATTCCTCCATAAATCGATACCTTCATCTATCCGTCGGCTCAAGTTCAATATTTTTTATTCTAACTTATAATAATTACTTTCTTCGTTTTATTTTGTTGCTAATTCTGTCATTTCATCTTCTATCATTTTTTTTACTATTTGGATTGTTTTCGTTGGTTTACTAACTAGTTTTTGGCATAAAACAAATTGTACCTTTATCTTCCTCTGTAGCTATAAGCAATTCTACTAGTTTATGTTTATTTCTGTTTTGACGTCTACTACACGCTGTTGTTTTAAAGCTATTAATGCACGGATTAATTAATAACTATTAAAGTTGCATTTATTTTGTTATCCAGGGTGCTGTCAAAATTGGCATAAAACCGGCATCCTAAATTTTCGCCTAATTCCATTTTTTTAAATTGAACACCCTGTATGTGAATCATAATTTTAGAAAATATGTTTTTTACTATCATATATACATTTTTGTCACAAAAAATTTATTTATCTAGGTGCCTATGGAATATTCTGCCAAAAGTATCAGTTATTGTTAATGTTTAATAGTAACCTTGTTGTATGCCATTGGGTGAAAGTTATATGTAATAATAGCCTAATTTTCTTGACAAAGTAATATTTGCTCATTTAGGACATAAAAATGACGATTTTTTAAATTTATTTATAATTTACGGTAAGGGTAACAGAATAGTATCCAGAACTTGCCGTGTTTTTACTGAGAGATATCCTGAGAAGCCTCGACCAAATCATAAAACTCTAAAACGTTTGTTGAACAACTGTTTTCAGTTTGGTCAGTAAGTAAAACGACCCACTTTGATAATAAAGACTTACAAATAGATATCGTGAGATATTTTTTAGTTACTCCAAATTCATCTTTACGGTAACGTGAGCAATTGTTACAGATATCGGCTCGAACAATTCACGGAATTTTAAAAAGCATTATCGGACCCTTTGTTTATATACAGTAGCTCAATATTTACATCCTGGAGATTATGTAAGACGTGTAGACTTTTGTAAATGGGTTTTAATGAAATGCCTAGATCAAGATTTTAGAAAAAAAATATTTGGTGTGATGAATTGAAGTTTACAAAAAATGGTATATTTAACCGCCATAACAGTCACTCTTGGGGTTACGAAAATCCTCAGCTTACGTGGTGTATTACATTTCAAGCATTCTTTTCGTTCAATGCTTTTTGTGCTATAAAAAATAATAAGATAGTCGCTCTCATGATTTATAACAAAAATTTAAACGGAGAACGTTACTGCAACATTTTAAGGCAAGTAATTGTACCAGCACTACACGCTTTACATAATAATAAAGCTAACGAGGCTTGGTTTCAACAAGATGGAGCACCGGCTCACAATATTCGAGGAGTCCGCACATGTCTTGATGAAATATTTAGCGATAGATGGATAGCTAATAAAGATCTGTTTCTGTGGTCACCAAGATCTCGTTGTCACCGTTAGATTACTATATTTGGAGATATGTTAAAAATAAGGTGTTCTCTGAACCTGTCACTACTGAAAAAGCTTCTTCTTCTTCAAGTGCCCTGTCCGTTGCGAACGTTGGCTATTAACATGACAATTTTGATCTTGTTTGTTGTTAAACTCTAGCTCGTTCTATTCTCGCCTTAATTTCTATGGTCTGTTCCCATTTTGCATTTACGTTGGTCCCAAGGTACACATAAGATTCTACATGATCAATTAGTATGTTACTTATCCGTAATTGTCGAGCAGGTTGTTGCTTTTTGCTTATCAGCATCCACTTTGTCTTCTTGAAGTTGAGGCTCAGGCCGTATTCCTCACTAACTGAATAAAGTCTTTCCATTACTAGTTGTAATTCGTCTATGGTACTGGCAAGGATCACCGTGTCGTCGGCATATCTTATATTGTTCGTTAACTCGCCGTTTATTTTTATGCCCTCATTTGCATTTTCCATACATTTGGGTAATATTTCCTCGGAATACATATTGAATAGGAGTGGGGATAATATACACTCCTGACGGACACCTCTTTTGATCTGCACGCTTTCAGTGAGTTCGTTGCCAATTTTTGCTCTTGCTGTTTGACCCCAGTATAGGTTTGCCACAATTCGAATGTCCTTGTCATCAATACCTGTCTTTCGCAGAATACCTATCAATTGTTCATGATTGACATTGTCAAATGCTATTCAAAAAACTACAAAGCACAAATAGACGTCCTTATCAACGTCTCTACACCGCTGTATAAGCACCTGGAGAGCGAAAATTGCTTCTCTAGTTCCAAGTGCTTTCCGAAAACCAAACTGCGATCTATCAATATTTGACTCACATTTATCATATATTCTTCTATGAATGATCTTAGTGAACGCTTTAGTGACATGATTGATTAAGCTTATAAGCCGGTAGTCATCACAAATCTGGGCATTTGGTTTATAAGCTATAACGAATAAAGTCCTTCAAGTTCTTAACGAAATACATAAAGAATCAATATCAAGACTTACTAATGAAAATCTGATTAAACGAGTTCAAGAATGATTGAATGTTGATGGGCAACATTTTGAACATTTATTGCGTTAATAGGCTAGTGCCTATTTCCTTTGATAGCATCTTTTTAATGCTTTAGGAACTTGGAGATTTTTATGATATTCAGAGTGAGAAGAAAAATGGTAAAGACCAAGAAGAAGAAGAACGTAAGAGAGAATTGGAAGAAAGAAATTAGCCAGACAGGTCAAGACCCCGTTAGGGTTTTAAAATGAAAAAAGAAGAATATTTAATATTTTCATTATTCATAGATCAATTTTCGTATTGTCCATTTATTTTAAAACTTCGATCCTGATGTTGACGACTTTTCCATGTTTTAGTAGGCACTCACACCATTCTTGCAAGTTGCTTTATTATTCTCCACTTCTTTGAATGTTTTCTTTATTCCAGGTGTACTAATACCTGGCTTAATCTTTGAGTTTATGTTTTTTTTTTGTATTTTAATATGTTGGCAGTTTAGTAAACATATCTGGTATACATCATTTATATTGTGAGAAGAGTTAATTTGGTGCTAATATCGGTAGCCTAGTGGAAAGCTTAGTGAATCACGTGTTCGAATTTAGCGACACGGGATTTTTTTAGAAGAAATTTTTTTTAGAGAATTTTTTTTAGAGAAATTGTCATGTTCATGGGATCAGTATTTGCCTGATGTAGTACAGTCGTTTGCATATACTATAATAATCGGCTTTCTGTAGTGATAACGGCGACTTTAATTAGCAACAATACATTTGATTAACACAGAAACTACACAAAACAATTCTTTTTCTAATAAGTTTGCATAGTTGATGCAGATATTTTTAAAAAAATATCATTAACTAAACAATTACTATTGCGGAATAATAATATTAGTTTATTTCTACTTCTTAGCAGTATTCTCGGGTAAATTCCAATATAAGGGGCTTACTATAACGAGTGGATAAAATTAAATGTGTGGTGTCAACAAAAACCAATCACGTATTATATCATCATTACTTGCAAAGGAACTCTTGTGTTAAGTTCTAGTGTAAAAAAGTTTGTATAAACGTGTTCATATTCACACGACTTCTTCGTAAATACTTTAGTACATATTTTAATATCTATTTTTAATAACCGTTATTAAATACTTTGAATGAAATCAATTCATTCTGGCCGCTGTTTTTTTTTCTTCTTCGGCCTCTTAAACACTAGAAGATATACGATCGAAGTGTCGTAATAGTGAACGAGAATGATATACTGATACAGTGTATACCAACGGCAAACCGTAATTAGTACCAACTCCGGTACTAAATCAAACCGAGTTTCTCCCGATCGGTACGAAAATTACACGAATAATGAGGCTAGGTATCAAGATATAATAGCTGCATAGGCGTGAGTTGTGTAAACCGCCATTAAAAAAATCCGGTAGTACCATTCAATAGGCAGTATATCAAATGGAGGGTTATTATTATTGTTGGTTAAACTGACGGCAGAGGTACTGTTTACGTCAGGGCTATCGCTACTGGATTCACTGTTATTATACAATCGAAGTATTTAAATTGTTACTCTCGATGTCAGATTTGAAATTTCTCCTTGGGAAGAAAGAAAACGATAGAATTGATTAAAGGGTAAGATTCTTTAAAATCTAAAATTCACTAAAATCTATATAGCTTATTCGGAAAGGGTATCACGAAAAAGTCGTATTGAATAGCGGTATTAACATTAATTAAAGAACACAATAACAGTCCGAAAATATTTTTAGAGCAAGTGGGAGCAGCAATAATATCCCTAAAGATGGAAAAGCTTGTGTCTAGATGGAGTTCAATCAGTGATCATCAAAGCCTTCGATGAGAAGTTCAGTATCGTTTTCAGCGAGATATATAACACTGGAAAAATACACAGGAATAAAATACAGTATACACCTCACGTACTTGATAATAATAAAAACATGTAATTGTTGTAAACGAATCTCACATTTTAAATTAACAATATAGTATGTTAATTTTTCTACATCTACAACTTATCTTATGTCTTATTATTTATGCCTTATTTTATACATATTTACCTTATGCTTTTTGTTATCGGCCGGGTGAGCCCTTTTATATCAACAATACACTATGCTGCGAAACTTGTGATGAGTGAAAGGGGTGGAAAGTGTCCAAAGTATCCCTATATCTAGAACTTACAGTACTACTAAAAAAGCAAGAGGCCGAAAAGTGCAGTTATTACAAAACAATAAGTCTTGCAATGAAGAGATATGAACTGTGTATATGTCTGCTTCATTAGAGATCAAGACTTCTTCTTCTTTCAGTATCCTGTCAGATTATCGCTCGTTGGCGATCATATTGGCAATAATAACTTTGTTTGCGGAGGCTAAATGGATTAGCGCTGCTCTCTTAATACCATTCTCGGAGATTTCGGAGCCATGATGTTCTTCTTCGCCCTGGGCCCCTCCTTCCCCCGATCTTATTTTGTATTAAGAGGTGTAAAAGGTTATACCTCTCTTGATGTCTCATTACATGACCGAAATATTGTACCTTTCGAATTTTTATCATTTATGTTATTTCTGTGCTCTTTTTCATTCGATGTAAAACTTTCATTTTAATACTCGTCGATAAGTCCACATCTCAAAGGCCTCCAATTTTTTCATTAATGTCTTTGTAAGGGTCCAGCTCTCCATACCATAAAGCAATGTGGAGAATATTTAGCAGCGTATTAATCTGATTTTAAGGTTTAACGTAATATCTCTATTAGGTAATTAGAATTTTCTTTAATTTATAGAAGGCGACTTTGACTTTTTCAATGATTATTCTTATTTTTTTATTTATATCCCAGTTATCGTTAACGTTTGCGCCCAAATAGGTAATATTGTGGACCCTTTCTAACTCTATTTCATACGATCTGATGTTCATTGGTTGTAACTTCGCTTTGCTGACAACCATAAGTTTTGCCTTAGAAGTATTAAGTTACATAAGTTAAATAAGCATATTCATCACATGCTTCGATTACTCTGTTTATAAGTCGTTGCAAATCTTCTTCATTGCATCCAATAAGTACCGTGTCGTCAGCATATCTGAGATTGTTGACATTAATTTCGTTGATTTTCATGCCTGTATCTTCAACTAAGGCTTCTTTGAATATAAATTAGCAGTAGGTATTAAAAAGTAGAGGCGATAGAACATATCCTTGCCTTACTCCACGTCGTATTTCCACTACTTCCGTCGTGTTGTGTACAATTCGTATGTTTGCACATTGATGCAAATACAAATTTTTGATATTACTTAGGTCTCAGTCATCAATTCCCACCTGTTGCAAGACACCTATAAATTTGTCATGGTTTATTCCGTCAAAGACCTTTTTAAAGTCGATAAAACACATACTGATTGTTCAATATACCTACATCTTTGAACCATAACCTGCAAACTGAATACTCTGGTTCCAAGGTTGTTTCTGAAACCCAAATTGTGTTTCACTTAGTTGTACTTTTATTTTGTTGTAAATTCTCGAGTGCTGTATTCTTAGGAAAATATTCAGTACATGACTCATTAGACTGATGAGTTTATGCGATGATCGCTACACTGTTTCTTATTTATTTTTTTCGGTTTCATTAAAATTGTTGACAGTAGCCAGTCTGTTGGTATATATCCTGTTTTGTATATTTTATTGAAGATTCTTAAAAGAGAATGTTTACCCTTATCGTCGAGTAGTTTGATTATTTCGCTTCAAGATCGTTTGTGTTGTTAGAACACAACAAAATGGAGAGGTCGTGCCAGATAGTAAAATTGACAGTAAGGATCAGCATATAATGAGAAATATTCTATTAAAGTCAACAAAGAAAAAATGAAGGAAGTGAAAATTCTGGGATACATTATTCATTCATTATGTTTTGTCTGACCACTTGGTGGATTCTCTTGTATTCGTTTTTATCTTTGTTTCTAACGTCTCTTCTTTGGTCCACGAGGTTCCATATTTTCTGTGTTATTCATCCTTTCTTTTTCCTATATGTACTGTACTTATTCTTGTTTCCTAAACATTCTTTAATATACTTTGATTCTCTTTCAGTATTCTCATTATTTTCCTTTTTATTAGGTGTATATTTTTTGGTCAACGATTCTGTTTGTAGCTATATGATAGATACTTTGCCCTGGTTACTTTCCTATTCTTTAATATTATAATCACGCCCATAATTTGTTGTTGTATTCTTATAATTATGCTTAATAATGAAGTTCTGAGTTAAGTTCTAAATCTACAACTGCTAAGATTATATCACAGATTCGCATATTTTCATCCATTGTGGTTCGGTATTGACATTGTTCCATAATTATTTTGTAATACGAAGAGTGGAAAATAAATATCTCAGAAGACAGATTTATTAGAAAATCAATACATAATACCACGCTTTGCTGTTAACATTTTCGTAATAATTCATATCATTGCGGCTAACTTCACTGTTATTAATTTGACGTACGTCGAAACGTACCAAAATTTCCAAGAATAATCAAAACATTCCATGTGTTTACCTTGTAAACATTGCTCTGGAATTCCTATCATTAACGATCTTATCATAATGTAATTACGCGGTATGGTACCAACTACAAAGTAACGATTATGTAGTTCTTACTTACCAAAAGACTTTACGCGATGTTTTCTCAATTCAAAACCAATCAAAGTAACATTACACTCATATCATCATTTAGTTAATTGTAATGACGCCTAAATGTCTCATAATAAGAATGTTCATGTAGTGGTAAAGCTCGACTGCATGGCTTTAGACTCTAGACCACCGGACTTCAAAATATTAAAAAGAACGTTTCGTTTGATTCATATGATTAAGGAGTCAACCATTATTGATTATAATAGTAAATGGAGTATTAAGGGACACAAGGGAGAGACAATAGATGAAAAACCTAAGAACAGTGATAGGAAACGATAGACTTAAGCAATAGTCATGATATTTATTTTCTTAAGATACCGTACCACACTAGAATTTTGGCAACGGCATTAGCTCATTTTATATTATTTACTGTTGATCTAATAAAATCTATCGAAATGTTCCTGGTCCAATATCGGATATACTTGAGCTAAAAATGCCGTGGTTTTTGGGTCATCTTCTATTACCTTTTATTAGTTTTTCATCCACTTCCGATCTGATAACATCAAAATATCAAACATTTCCGCCATTGTCAACGTTTTAACACCATATAACACTGTTTAAAATACGTAGCACTTAGCTACCCTAATTCTTAAATATATATATCGAATTCTTCTTCTTCTTTGGGTGCCGTCTTCAATAAAGGTTGGCGATAACCTCAGCAAAATCATTTCTGTCCCTGGCTTTTCTTATTAAAGATTGAGAATCCAAACCAGTCCACTCACGAATGTTCTTCAACCAGGACGCCTGCCGTCTACCAGGACCACGTTTTCCTTCTACCTTCCCCTCTATAAGAAGCTGCAGTAGCTGGT